TGAGCTGTCCCCTCTCTGCTGTCCCTGGGTGGCTCTGAGCTGTCCCCATGGGGCTCTGAGCTGTCCCTTTCTGCTCTCTGAGTGTCTCTGAGCTGTCCCTGGTGGCTCTGAGGTGGCCTCAGCAGTGTCAGGGGATCAGCCCTGCAGCTCTCCCTGTACCCACTCCCCCAACGCTGTGCTCCCTGTACCCCAAACCCTCCCTCTGTGTGTGTCCCCCTGGCTGTCCCTGAGCCCCTGGCTGTCCCCACAGAGCTCCCTGTGGCCCATGACCTTCGGGCTGGCGTGCTGTGCCGTGGAGATGATGCACATGGCCGCCCCTCGCTACGACATGGATCGCTTCGGGGTCGTGTTCCGGGCCAGCCCCCGCCAGGCCGACGTCATGATCGTGGCAGGGACCCTCACCAACAAAATGGCCCCGGCCCTGCGCAAGGTATGGGGAGCTTGGGGGGCTCAGGGGGGCTTGGGCATGGTGGGGAGGTGGGCATCACCCCAAACATCCCTGTCCTGCAGGTCTATGACCAGATGCCAGAGCCTCGCTACGTGGTGTCCATGGGGAGGTGAGTGCTGGCATGTCCTCGCTGCTGTGGGGGGATTTTTTCACTTGTTTGTGTTTCTAAGTTCTTAAAAAGCCTTGTAGAGCAGAGCAGAAAAGCTGCTTTTGGGAATGGTGTGTGTGAATCCTCCCAGGGAGAGATTCAGGGGCTTTGCAGCTGCCAAATTTGTGTATGTCCAGAATGCCAGAGTTTGCTTTTGGCTTTCAAAATGCTTCTGCTGTGCTGGAATCTGCTCTGTGGGGGAACTCAATTGGAATCTGCTCTGTGAGGGCAGCTCAATTGGAATCTGCTCCATGGGGAAACTTGGTTGGAATCTACTCCATGGAGGGATTCAGTTGGAATCTGCTCTGTGGGGGAACTCAATTGGAATCTGTTCATGAGGGATTTGGTTGGTATCTGCTCCATAAGGGGGACTCAGTTGCAATCTGTTCCATGGGGAAACTCAAATGGAATCTGTTCATGAGGGACTCAATTGGAATCTGCTCTGTGGGGGAACTCAATTGGAATCTGCTCCATGGGGGGATTCAGTTGGAATCTGCTCTGTGAGGGATTCAGTTGGAATCTGTTCCATGAGGGATTTGGTTGGAATCTGCTCCATAAGGGGATTAATTTGGAATCTGTTCATGAGGGACTCATTTGGAATCTGCTGCATGGGGAGCTCAGTTGGACTCCATGGTCTCAGAGGTCTTTTCCACCCTCAGTAATTCCATGATTCTCACCATTTCCTTTCCCCACAAGTTTTTTTTTTGTCCCCACTGGCTGAGGGTGGCCGGTCCAGGCTGGAACAGGACAAATAGAAGGCAAAAAACAGAAGGGTTTGTGGCAGAGAGGGAGGGCTTTGTGAGGGAGATGGGCACAGTTCAGTTGGGTTGGATTCATCTGAAACCCTCCCAGGCAGGGCAGTGTCAGCTGTGGAGTGGAGGCTCCGAGCCTGGCAGTGCCCACCTGCCCAGGGCCACCTTCCTGGGCCTCCTGCTCACCTTCCTGTCCCTGTCCCTGTCCCTGTCCTGCAGCTGTGCCAACGGTGGGGGCTACTACCACTACTCCTACTCGGTGGTGAGGGGCTGTGACCGCATCGTGCCCGTGGACATTTACGTGCCAGGTACAAGGGGCAGCTCCACCTGGGAGCAGGGCAGGGAGAAGAGGGGGATTCTCTGCATTCAGGTGCAGCTTTGAAAGGTTTCCCTGTTTCAGTTTGAAAGGTTTTCCTGTTTCAGTTTGAAAGGTTTTCCTGTTTCAGTTTGAAAGGTTTCCCTGTTTCAGTTTGAAAGGTTTCCCTGTTTCAGTTTGAAAGGTTTTCCTGTTGCAGCAGCTCCAGGGATTGTGGGATGGGGAGGGTTGTGATGGTGGTGGCACCGTCAGTGGGGTGAGAGGGGGGTTTTGGATACACTTTGAAATTAAATAATTGCTATGTTTGATGAAGATCTTCTTGTTAACAGCATCAGTTTAGTTTCTTTGCACTCCACACAAAGCCAGAGGGGAGTCAGCTTTGGGATAAGTCCTGGGGTTGGCAGCTCTGCTGGCTCCAGCTCTGTGCAGGTACCTGCCCTGTGACCTTCCCCCCTTCCTCCCTTCTCTCCTTTCTCTCTCTCAGGTTGCCCTCCCACAGCTGAGGCTCTGCTCTACGGGATCCTGCAGCTGCAGAGGAAAATCAAGAGGGAGAAGAGGATGCAGATCTGGTACAGGAAATAGCCTTTATTTATGTCCCCACTCACTGCTCACATTTACGCACAAATCCGGCTCCTCACTCGCCTTCAATAAAACTCTACCTGGTCCAGGTGCTTTTCTGTCTTTAATAAACCCCTCTGGTCTGAGGGGCTGAAAAACTGGGCTAAAAAGCAGGAGCTGAGTTTGGTAACACTGCTGAGTTGGTCTGAACAATCTGTCAGGGAAGGTGATGTCATATCGTGACATAAAGGCTTTGCCAGAATTATTTTTTTTAATTTTGTTGGGAAGTTTTGAGAGCCAACACATGTCCAGGTGATTCCTGAGCACTCCCTGAGCTTATCCCTTACTCACCACCTGCTCCTTGTTGGTAATTCCTACACAGGATTTAAAAAACCCATAATATTTGTGTGCACAGGGGCCAGAAATTAATTCTGTTTCTGTAACAAGTCAAATACTGATGCTTAAAATCAGAATGTAATTAATAAATGTGAATGTAGAGCTCCTGAGCAGGGCAGGAATAAAGCAGCCTGTCCTGGATGCATCCCAGGAGCCTGGGATGAGGAATGGTCATGCCTGAGGGACAAACACACTTTGGAAAGACAAATAAATCGCTCGGGAACAGCAGTTTGGGTATTTCATTCCTTTTAATGGACTTTATCCCTTCTGGGGAGAGAGGAAACATTTATTGAGCTCTGAGGGGGGATTTGGGGTCAGGATTTGCTGCTGTGGGCTTTGGCCAGAAATGTTGGGAAACCTCCCTGGGGAGTTGCTTCAGGAGAAGCTGGAATGCCTCAAAAATGCCCCTGGTTTGGATTATTTGACTCTTGTGGGAATCCACTCTGTAATTTCTCAAAATGATGCAGTTTTTAGAGGAAATAGCTGGTTCTGGAACCCATTTGGCCAAAAGCTCTGAACCACACTGTGAAATTCCAGCTTTATTGAGAATTTGAAGTCTTGAGGGGACAGAACAGGGTGAGATCTTCCCCAGAGCCCACAAGGACAAGGGAGCTCATGGGGCTGGGGGTTTCCTCTCCTTTTGTCCATCCCAAGCCTCCACCCATCTCTCAAGGGTTTTAAGGAGATCAGAGCCGTTCTCCTCCTCCTCCTCCTCAGCTCCTCCCCGGGCTGGCTCCTCAGTGTTTGAGCACGGTGGGGGTGATCATCCTGGGGTGGGAGTAGTAGCGGCACTCGGGGGGCGGCTGCAGCTCCATCACCCTCGTGCTGATGTTCTCCCTCCTGAACCCCGCCTGCAGCAGCGGCCCCACCTGGGTTTCCTGCAGGAGAGGAGGGCAGGTGGGTGTCTCATGTGAGACAGCCGAGGAAAACCCCTCCGAGCTGCCCTCTGGCGTTCCACAGCCTCGGGGAGGGGAGCAGCTCACCTCAAACATCTTCTCGATGTCGCTGTACCTGGTTTTGAGCAGCTCCCCCCACGAGGTGAGGTTGCAGTAGGTGAGGACCCCTCCTGGCCGCAGCAGGCGGAAGGCGTGGCCCTGCCCCGGGAATTGCGGAATTTTGGGAATTGGGGTCAGCTCCNTGGTTTGGGTGGGAAGAACCTTCAACCCCATCCAGTCCCCTCCTGCCATGGCAGGGACACCTTCCACCATCCCAGGGTGCTCCAAGCCCTGTCCAACCTGGTTTTGGGATCTCATCCTGAGATCCACCAGGAAAAGAGAAGCCCAAGTTTTGATTCCTGGGTGAATGGATCTGATCTCTGCCCCTGTTTTGGGTTTTTAGGCTGTCGTTCTTTCACTGGGTCCTTCCTGGAGTATTTTGCTGCTGATATCAGTAAGTGAATCCATTCCTTTGGGAAAAAAAAACTCCTCTCAGCAATAAAATTCCTTCTTTTCTATCGACATGGCTATGAAAACCTTTTGTAATTTTGAAAAACTCATTTAAATATAAATTCTTGTGGTTTCCTGTTTCAGGCTACCCAGTGAGGAAAGAGGGCTACCAGAGTGTGGTGCAGATGGCATTCCCAAACACAGGGGAGGAAGGGTCTGGAGAGTCTTCCTCAGACACCTCCCCCCAGAAACCCCCCAGGAGACTCCTCCCTGACAGGACCAGAGCTGCCAGGGACAGGGAGAACAAGAAGCTGGTGGAGTTCATAGTGAAGAGCAAAGGGGCTGAAGAGCATCTGCTGGGGATCTTGAAAAGTGGGAAACAATCGCGCTGGCTGAAGAAATTCCTGAATTCCGGCCGCTACATTACCTGTGTGGAGACTTACCTGGAGGATGAGGAGCAGCTGGACCTGGTGGTTGGGTACCTGAAGGAGGTCTACAGGGAGATGGACACCAAGAACCTGCGCCAGATCCTGGGGGATGGCATCAGATTCATCTCAGATGTGCTTTTACCTGAGGTGAGGGAACCTGAAACGGGGGGGGGGAAATGAACTGCAGTGATAAATGAGATTAATTCCCATTATTTATTCCTTTGTTGTGGTGTGGTTCCTATGGAATGATGTGGGGAGAGTTCCCAAAGCTGAGCCAGGCAGGAATATCCTCCCCTGCCTACAGCCTGACTCACTCAAATGCTGATTTTTTAAGCACAGAAAGGAGAAGCTTCAGGTAGATTGTTTTTAAAAGCAGGCTGATAATTTCCTGATATATTTTAATTACCTCTGAAATGCTTCAAAGCTTTGGTTTGGGGTTTTTTATTGAATTTGGCAGTTTCTCAGGGTTTTCTTGTTCCTTTGTGTGTGTTGAGGTGGGGGGTGGTGTGTTGGCTGTTCTTACACTTGTTGTGGATACTTTGTGTTCTTCCCAGGAATTTTCCCAGGAGAACATTAATTCGTGTATAAACAAAATTACTGTGAAGAATATTTTAATCTGAGGATAAAAATACCCCACAGGGGATGATACAGAACAATTTTATATTTTTTATTTAAGAATTTCAGGCATTCAATGAGGAGTTTCATCCAAATTTTNCCCCTTTTATCCACATGATCAGGGAATTAAGATTCCCTAATTAAAGTGTGCAGGTGTGTCAGGTCCCCTCTGGGTCACACTCAGGTGTCTCTCACCTGCTCTGAAGCTGATCCTGTCCTAATCCCTGGATCCTGGTGCTGTTGGCAGGGCTGGAAGCCTCTGGGATGTCTTCCAGGAGAGTTTCCTCAGAGAGCCTTCCTCCACTCTCACCTCTGGCCGATGAAGAGGAGGAAAATTTGCCCAGTGTTCTGTCCTATCGAGGTGAGACAGCAGCACACAGGGCTGAGGCTCTTCCTGCTGGGGGAGCTTCAGTTTGCCTGAAATCCCTGGGGATTCCAGGATGGGATCCAGCTGTATCCCTGCTTGGGATAAAATGCATTTCCTGAACATTTTGCTGCAGAATGAAATGAAAAAATCCTTGAAACTCGATAAGGACTTGGCATTGAATTTGCTGGGTTTCATTTCAGGACTCTGTGCTGCATTTTGGGGGTCACTGTAAAATCACTGGAGAGAAACTCCTGGAGGAGAAGAAAAGAGGGGTAGCACCTGTTTTGTTTTATTGTTTTTAAGGAAAATTTCCTCTTTTTTTTTCACCCCAGAACCCAAATTCTTCATGGAAGGGATGTTGGTGTGGTGCAAGCTGCGGCGCTATCCCTACTGGCCAGCCGTGGTAAGAGCAGCTCTGCCTCCTCATATCCTGCTGATAAGGAGCAGCTCCCATCTCTGGAGTGACTTTTGCCCTTCCTGAAAGTGTTAAAACCTTCCAGTAGAAGCATTTCAAAATTGATAGAAGTCAATTTGTGCTCAAAGCACTCAAAATGTGGTCACTTCACAGCTGTTTGTGCAGAGCACAGGATTATCCCAGTTCCTTTGTCATGGAGCAGAACTTTGTTCCCAATTTGCAAAAGAAAGGGGAGGCCCTTTGTGCACTGAAAATGTTCCCTTTGGGGAACTGATTGCTGCTTCCTCTTGAGTTTTTCATATTTGTGTAATAAAGGAAAGTTACAGCAAAAGGAAAAATTTAAGTGTAATTGTAGTGGGTGATATCCACAGAAAAATATCCCTGCTTTATCAAGATCAGGATTTTTGAGGCTTTATCCTCTCTCCAGGTGAAAGCAGTGAAGAGGAAGCACCGGAGGGCCTGTGTGCTCTTCATAGATGGCACCACAAACGAGAAGAAAAAAGGGTAAATGTTTATTTCCATCTCCTCCTGAATTTCCAGTCTGATATTCCTGGTGCAGGGTGAGGACAGACCTCTGCAGGTTGATCTGGGAGAAAGGGGCTGGGCCAGGTGAGGGTTGGAGGTGCTTTGTCATGCTGCAGGTTGAGGCAGCTCCCTGTCCTTAGGAAGAGCTGAGGAGTCAAAAACAAANAAAATCCCCCAAAGAAACTCAGCCTGAGGGAATAAAACTTGTATATTTCACTTATTTTCTTTTCCTTTTTCCATAAAGTTGGAAAATAAGTTAAAAATTCATCATTTTTCTCTTCCCTGGGTTGATTTGTTGGAGGGATGGTGAAGAAATGTGAGTTTCCCTCAAAATGAGGCACTTCCAGCTTGGTGCTTGTGTGTCTCCATCCTTTGCCTTGGGAATTGTGGATGATTTTAGTAGTAAAAAATTCACCTTAAAACAAATACCAGGAGTAACATTTATGATGGAATAATGATGATAATTTCATTTATTGAATATTTTTCCTCATCAGAGCAAAAGAAAACCATGAGTGAGGCCGTGGAGGAGCTGCAATATCGCTGTTCCCTTAAAATTGCCCTGGATATTCTCCATGAGACTGACTCCAGCACTCAAATGCCACTTGCAGAAGGACCAAATCCTGAATTTTCCCGGCAGAAATCTGCCCCACCCACCCCCTCCCAAAGCTTCTCGTTGCGCTCTCGCTCCAAAAAATCAGAACCTGAGGCTGCCAAGAGGGAAAGGAAAGCTCAAAATAACTCTGGGATGAAGGATGATCCCAAAGCACGCAGCCAGGGAGGTTCTGTGGCTCCAGAGAGGAGTGGAAAAGCACCTGGAGGTGGCACAAGCCCTGCCAGGGCACGTGGGGGTGGCACAAACCCTGCCAGGTGTGGTGCCAGGGACTCGAGTGTGGCACCAGCCCCTGATGGTCATAACTGCGAAAAACCAGAACCAAAATCATCACCCAGACAGAGAAAAATGCAGCCCAAAATGGAGAATGGAGTCTCCTGTAAGGCAGAGGCTGGAAGAAATCAGCAAGGAAGGAAAAGAAGATGGAGGGAAGATTCCACCCAGGTGGCTCCTGAGGAGGGGTCTCCCTCTGTCCCCTCTAAATCTGGCACTATGGAACCTTCCAGAAAGAAAGGAGCTCGGCCTGGGAGAGCATTCCTGGATTCCTGCAGTGAAACTGCCTCGGATGAGTTGGAGAAAAGCATCAGCAGTGAGAGTGAGAGCCTGGCAAAGCAGCTGGATGGGAGGAGAGAGGCAGAGGGTGGAAAACACCCGGATGGGGCAGAGAGGAAATGCAGGAACCACCCTGGATCCNTCGCCCAGCAGCTCCATCAGACGCCGGCGGCCGATCGCGCTGACAGGTGACAATTCCTGCCCTGGGGACAGGGGACAGCTGGTTGTGCCACCATTCCCGGGTGGGAGGGTCCCAGGAGCACCTCCTTGTGCTAAAATCCGGGGGGTTCTGGCAGCTGTGGGAGCCCCGGGGAGAGGCAGCCATGGGCTCTCTGTGGTTGGGGTGTGGCTGAGGGGCCCCAGCACCAAACCCACAGATCCCACTCTGCCACAAACAGAGGGGTGCCATTGTCATTCCTCAGGGGGTCACAGCCCCGTGGAGGGCTAAATGCTGATTCTGCAAGGAAATAACTGGAGGGTGATGGTTCCTTTCAGCTCTGTCCAGGTCCAGAAGAGCTCTGCTGTTGTCCCGAGGAAATCCTACGTGCCCAGCAGCCGTGGCGAGTATGTCATTGCCAAGCTCGATGACCTGGTCAACTGGGCACGGCGGGTGAGTCCTGGGGCACCAGGCTCCCTGGCACCCAGGGACAGAGGGTGGCACACCAGAGACACCTCCTGCTCGGGATAAAAATAGGCTCAGAGCTCCCTTGGCCGAGTTCTGTGGCCAGAGGGTGACACTGGGATCCAGTGACAGTGTGGGACACAGGCTTGGGGTGGCGGGGGGAAGTCTGGAACTGCCCTTTGGTCACCAGGAAAAGGCACTTCTGGAGTTGTCCCTGCCCTGAGCAGCTGCTCTGCCTGTGAGGAAGGGTGACACGAGTGACAGTGTCCTGGGTGTGCTGTGCTCTGCCTTAGCTCGGCTGGTCCTTAGGGACACCACTGTTCCCACAGGCCTCTGAGCTGTCCCTTCTCTGCTCTCCGTGGGTGGCTCTGAGCTGTCCCTGAGCAGGGACACGTCAGTCCCCTTGGGGCTCTGAGCTGTCCCTTTCTGCTGTCCCTGAGTGGCTCTGAGCTGTCCCCATTGGGCTTTGAGCTGTCCCCTCTCTGCTGTCCCTGGGTGGCTCTGAGCTGTCCCCATNGTCCCCAGCCCCATGGGACAATCTGGTCTCCACCTGCACCCTGCCCAAACTGCTGTCCCCTTTCCATGGCTCAGGGGTGTCCTGGGATGCCCTGGGCTTTGCTGCACCCCTATTTTGCAGTGGGGTGCCCAGCCCAGCCCCTGCCCGTCCTGCTGGTGCTGTCTCACCACTGAAGTGCCCGTCCGGCAGCGTTGGCACCACGTCCTCCCAGAGCCCCTTCAGGGGCACCACCTGCGGGTGGGGGGCACAGGGGTGAGCTGGGGGGGGCCCCAGGAACCCCCCAAGCCTGGCACAGCCCAGCGTGCCCCTGACCTTGTGCGGCTGTGCCTTGGCCCACTGCTCCAGGCGCCGGAAAACGCCCTCGTTGCACTCGATGATCCAGTGCTCGTCGATGCCGAATTCCTGAACCTTGGAGGCGGCGATGGCCATGCCAAACCCCACCTCCAGCACGCGGCCGCCTGCAGGTGGAACCCGGCACTCACAGCTCGGGGTTTTCTCTGCCTTAAACCTCCCCCAAGCGCTGAATTCTGAGCCATTCTTTCCCCAGATTGAGCTCTTTGGGTGCGGGTTGGGAGCGTGTGGTGCTGCTGGCACTGAGAAGTTGGGAGCAGCCCCATGTCCCTGTCACCTGCTGTTCCCCCCAGTTACCCCTGTGTCCCTGTCACCTGCTGCCCTCCCACAGTGGCCCTTTGTCCCCAACAACCCCCCCCAGTTGATCCCAGTGAGAAAAAACAACATCCAACCCTCCCTCTGCCAGGGAAACGGCCCCAAAAGTGGCAGGGCCATGGGAGGGGAAACAG